TGTTTCTTGTTGTCCTTAATATGTTTGCCTTTATATACTGTGTCCTGTGTTCATTCTGCGTCGAATCATTGTTTTTGTGCTGTTACAGCCAGTGTGGTTTGTTCTGTGTTCCTTGTTCCTCCTGAGATTTTGTAAGTTTTGCTGRCARGTCAGCCCTCTTTTGTTCTTTAAATAAACKCTTTTTGTTACATAGTGGATTTTGCCTGRGCCCTGGGTTTTTTCTGCCTGCAATCCTCACATAATGATCCYACCAAGTACCCAGCCTGCAGGAAAAACTTTTTGGGTTTTAATTAAACTGAGTTGTTGGAGAACCTGCAGCAGCAGAGAGAGCTGGATAGGCTGGCTGCTCATTTCCCATGGATCTGCCCACTGAGAGCAGCACCACCTGGTGATTCTGTTGCCCACCTTCCCACCCCTGTTGTTCCTGGGTCAACTGAGTCTGCTGGGTCACCTGAGTCTTCTGAGCCACCTGAATCTTTTCCTGTGTCTTCTGAGTTTCCTGAGTTGGTGGTTCTAGTCCCGGTTCCTGAGTTGGTGATTCCAATCCCAGTGTTTCCTGAGTTAGTAGTCCCAGTCTRYGTGTCTCCTGAGTTGGTGGTCCCGGTCCCAGTGTCTCCTGAGTTGGCGGTKCCAGTTTCTCCTGAGTTGGCGAGTCCCTCTTGGGCAGTCATTGGGGTTCATGGGTCGGTTGCCGGCGCCTCTCTAACATCTGGGTCATCGCCCATCACCTCCTCATCCCCTCTGTTGCCTGTGTTTGCCATCGTGGACACTCTGGCTCCATCAACCTCCGCCTGCTCCCGTGGCTCTTCATCTGCTCCCGCCTGCTCCCATGGCTCTTCGTCTGCTCCCACCTCCTCCCATGGCTCTTCGTCTGCTCCCGCTTCCTCCCGTGGCTCTATGTCAGTCCCTGCCTCCTCCCATGGCTCTTCGTCTGCTACTGCTTCCTCCCGTGGCTCTATGTCAGCCCCTGCTTCCTCCCGTGGCTCTACATCGACTACCGCTTCCTCCTGTGGCTCTACGTCAGTCCCTGCCTCCTCCCATGGCTCTTCGTCTGCTACTGCTTCCTCCCGTGGCTCTATGTCAGCCCCCGCTTCCTCCCGTGGCTCTACATCGACTACCGCTTCCTCCTGTGGCTCTACGTCAGCTCCCACTTCCTCCTGGGGCTTCACCCCGTTCCTGTCGGGCCTCGCTGTGAATGGTCGCCTGGCCGTCCTCCGGATCTCCTGCTCTGTGTTGGATGGTCTTCAGGCCATTTCTCTGAAGTCTGTGTTTTGTCCTTGTGTTTCCTGGTGCTTTGTCCTTGTATCCCTGAGTCTCGTCCCTCTCCCCTTTTAGACGTCGGGAGCCGTCGTTGAGAGGAGGGTCCTGTCATGATCTGTGTGCCTTTGCTTTAGTTTGCTAGTGTTTCAGTGTTCCCCTGTGCATCTCTCCACTGCTCCAGCCCCGCCCATGCTCACCTGTTTCCTCTTGTG